TTGAGGCTCAGATTTTTTGAGGGGAGTAGTGCTCCTGTTTTTTTTTTTTTTTTTTTTTTCTCTCTCTCTCTCTCTCTCTCTCTCTCTCTCTCTCTCTCTCTCTCTCTCTCTCTCTCTTTCTTTTTTTAAAATTTTCTTTATTTTTTTGGTGGTGCTAGGAATTGAACTCAGGGCCTCACACATGCTAAGCCTGCCTTTTACCACTGAGCTACATCCCCAGGCCAGAAGTGCTTCCTTTGTGAAAGGAAGCTGATAAATCATATTTACCATTGAAAAGTTTGTATGTACATCACGTCCTTTGATGGGGTATGCTTAAGAGTCTACATTCCAGAGGACCATGCAATGCGCTGGCTTGCATTAGATTTCGGCCAAGCTGGCAGCCTTTTTCTAAAAGTCTTACATTACAGGTAACCTGATGACAGGGAGGGTGGGCCACACATCTCAGCTGCCTGTCTGCAGAGCCAAAGGGAACAAGTTTGCAAGAATGCAACAATATGCTGGGATCAATGGAACTCTCCCTGGAACTGGCTGTTCCCCCTTTCAAAGGACACCTCCCTAATCTCTCCACTTGCTTAAGGCAGATTCTTCAATGCTCTGAACTTGTCAGGAGTCTGGCATCATTAGGAAGCGCAAAGGGAGAAGGCTCTTTATTAATCATGGGCAGAGGCAGAAGGGACCAAATTCATGGACAATTAAGAGTCAGGGTCAGAATTGAAGGCTCCTCTTTGAAACTACAATTGTTTCCTTTAACCATGAAGAGAAAAGGAAACATTTTTAAATTTTCATTAAAGGGTCTACCCTATATCTGACATAGGGCTCGACCCTAGGTCAGAGCATCTACCTTAAAGAACTTGAAGTCCATGACAAGATAAAGATAGAAGAGGAAAAAGTGATCTTTCACCCTAAATGCAGGCTCATTACCTCAGTCTGAGCACAGTAAAAGATGGAAAAAAAAAAAAAAAACAGCAATAACAAAATACTTACTTGAGGATTTCCACAGTATGTACAAAGAGTACTGTGAGCCACGGGCTGTGCAAAAATAATTCTCAAACTATTAAAGGTGTGTGAGGCTAGTAATCAAGACAGACAGACTGACACAAAGCTTTGCCACTGGAGTCCAAGACAAAGCACTCTGCCACAGGACTGGGGTTCTTCTCACTGCTCTCACTTCTCAATTAGGTGCCATGGAAAGACCTTCCAGCTCCTTCCAAAAGCATTTCAAATCAGTAGGCTTCTGTTTAATGGCCTCACAGCATATTGATATATGGATAGGCTACAGTTTATTGGATTAGTCCTGCCATGGTGTTTAGGTTATTCTACAAGTTTGTCACTATAAATTAATATGCATACTCTTAAGTGAAGCCTATTGTTATTCTTTATTTAATACAGAATAATACGAAGGATATCCCCATAAATAAAGCAAAATTAAGAGCAAGGAATAGATAGATGCCTGAAGTTAAATGGTCTTTAAATCTGGGAAGGGCCCTTCCTAGTGCTGTCAAGGAGGCTCCGCTTGGGCTGGCTCAGAAGGCAGTGCAGCCGGCTTCAGCTCTGCATTCAGGAGAGCCAGTTATCACCCTATATCACCTGGCCATGTATATGTATAGTGGATGGTATCACAGCTCCTTGGGGCTGGAGTATGCATGTTAATGGATCAAAAACATTTAAGAAAAATAAATAGTGGACATTTTACTTCGCATTCTCTTAGATTATCACCTGTGGTGCAACGGAACCCTCAAGGAAACTATAATAAACTCATGAAATAACAGGATTCAAATTCAGACTCAATGAATACCTGTATGCCTGTGACTAGCCAGGCACTGAGAGGCAAACTTACTGGTTGTGAAATTATCATCACAAAGAAAATATTAACATACCCATTTGTAGTTAAGAAAAGTAAGATTTAGAGAGATTGAATTTGGGAAAGTCCATACACTACTAGAAAATTTGAAAGTTGAAGTCTATCTACACTTGTGTTTCTTGCCATCTCCAAACCATCATTTTTTCAACTGTCCTAAGGCTGATGATTTCCAACTAAAATACAAGATAAGCAGTACACATGGTATTAAGTGATAGGCCTCTATGACTAGTGATAAATTGTGGAAAAATAAAATCTGAAATTAAATCTTAAATTGAGTGCTACTTTGTAAGTATATGTGTATATAAAATAGAGACTATGGAGTAATGTTATCATTTTACTTTATTTCATTGAAGGAAGTTTAAAATAAATATCATATTTTTATTGAACTGGAACCATAATCCCATTTATGATTTTAATTCGGAAAAAGCAAAGGAAAAATGTGTATATGCTTTAAATATGTTAGTTATATTTTGATAGCAATTCTGAGAGAAAAACCAGAAAATTCAAAGGGAAAATTCAACAGGACTGGATAACAAGTGATGAAGGGTAGAAGAAAGATTCTTATTGAAGAATTATCAGAAGACTATACAATAAACATGTGTCACCCAAATAACAGTATGTGAGCAATTCTAAAATGTATCATTTTATTTTAAAAAGTTGCCTTAAAAGCACAGATGGCTAGAAAAATAGATGTGCAATATAGCACCAAAAACATATCCTCCAGCAGTTGGGCTTCAGGATATAAGAGGACAGCACTACATTACACAGGGCCTGTCTGCTCCATTGTGTCCCCACCCTTCCATTAATCAAAAAGAGAGAGAGTCCAGGCAGGATGAAGGAGAAACCTGAACTAAAGAGGTAGGCCTTACATTCATCTACCTCCTTGGCTGGTGATTAKCCTTGCAAGTTTTACCTCTTGAATTCCTCATTTATAAAACTGGGGATAAGAGACTTAGTCATAAGGCTCAGCTGAGATAAATATATGAGAAAATATTTTCAAAAATTTGAAGACTTTGTATATATGTAAGGATATATAAACTGGCCCAAAGTACTATATGATGCTATGGTATATACAGGTATCCATGACTAAGAAAAGAATATCTTCTTAGGTGCAGCTACTCAGACAAGGGTTCAAGTGTCCTAGATTTAGAAGAAATGCAACTAAACCTAAATTAAGCCTACTTGTAAGCAAGAAAGAAACTTAATTAAAATGTAAACACCATGCAATGTACTAGTATGAAGCGTCTTCTCTAAAATCTACAAAGTAGGCAGTAGACAAACAGAAATCCAAAAGATGCAAATTATTTAGCAAAGGTTGCTCATGAATGGCAGACAAAATACTTGATTATGATCAAATTCCTTCTAAGAACTTTCTGTGCTGATTATTAAGACTATCAGAAAACATAGTATGTTCACTGTTTTCATCCTCATCTGATGCACACGCTGAATGCCAGAAAGAGGAAGTGATTGATTGAGGTCACACAGAAGATCAAGACTAGAATCCATGTTTTCCAGCTTTCAATCTTTACTCTTTTCTCAACACCCAAGTGCCTATGCCTTTTTTCATGGTATTGACATTACTGCTGTTATTTGAAAGGAAACTGTATCAATGCATTACACAAAAATCCTTTCTTTTCTTTCTATTATATTATTTAGGTGGAGATCCCCAATGCTTTTTGTGAGACAATACACTCTCAGAGAAGAGCTTTGAATGAAGATGGCTGGGGAATGTGCTAACTGCAGAAAGACCTTAAGATTCCTTTGTGAGGAGATGGGACTGATCTGATGTACTTGTAGCAAGCTTCATCCCCATGGTTCTTACATGACTTTAGAAGGGAAGCAATTGTTCTTTTAGTGACCTCAATATGCCCATCATCCTCTCAGACAAGTCCATYCATAATACAGTGGAGTCCTGACTCAGTAAAGCAAGCAAGTAGYGGTTATCTTTGAAGAGCTGTGATTATAAATGTCCAACTAGTGATCACCCTCCTAAGCCACATGTGTCTCCTTTACAAAATGGTCACCCWGGTCTCAGAAACTTACTTAGATCAATCAACCATCTATGTGAGGCCTGTAACTCTTAAGTTACTCACCTGCAGTATCCATCTCCAGGATTATACATACAAAAGAGACTAAAGATTATCACACAATTGATTAGCAACATGTGGMGCAAAGACAGAGTTTTAAGCTGCTACTTAGACTTCATGGTTGAAACATGAGCTGTGACAGAACCACTTCGCACACCATGAAAGGAACACAGTAAAATAAAATAAGTTTTAGGACAATTTTGTGACAGATACCCCGATGTGAAATAGTGGAAAAGGAAAGGATACAATGGGGAGGGAGGACATCAGAAATCCATCCAGCTACACAAAAGCCTCTGTAAATTTCAGGATTTTTATCCAACTTAATCTCCTTGTTCTTCAGCTTTCCTCACTAGCACAACAGGAGTTATAAAATGGTCCTACCTACTTCACAAAGATGTGAGATCAAAATGGGGGAAMAGATGTGAAATTGTGCTGGAATGTCATCAACATTATGAGTATAGATAATTTAATAAACTCTGTACCACTGGATTTGRGTCTATAGTGAACGAGATACTATATAAAGGGTAAAAATGAAAAAAAATTCAAAGAATCATATTTTTTCACAGAGAAAAGGAATTGTGAAAATAATTCTAAAGTTATTTTTCAATAAGATGATATATTTGGAAGATTTGTATAATCCATGTAAATGTTAATTTTTTTTTTTTTATAAACATGCATGCCATTTTGTTCTGGAGCGTTCTTTGATCAGCCTGTTAAAACCAGCTTTGTAAGTTTCTCCTTTATATTTGAGCCATTATTGTGTTAGAATGCATTATAAACTGTAAAATAGAATAAATCATTTTTAACTTTTGAAAGAATATGTATTCTTATAAAAGTTATATATAGAAAGGTTTTCTTTCTTTTTCTTTCRATATTTTAATTTAGTATTCATTTGAACTAAGGGTGCTGTGTGCAGCTGTAGAGGTAGGTTTGTAGCAAGTTGGTAACTMGAACAAGAAACGTCYCAATTTGGAATTGGGAGAAACCCCAGTGGTTGAGGAAGACCCTGGTACTGGGCAAAGTGAGATGGCAACTTATGCCGGGGATCTTACCGTCCAGGTGGCAGACTTGGCGGTGCTSGACTGTTGGAACGACACATCGAAGCTGTGCGGGCCTGGGTAGTCAGTGTTGGAGGGGATGGCCGGCGATGGTGACAGGGCATCGAAGGTGGAGCTGGGCTGCGCATAGGGCGAGGGCGCTGTCACGCTGTTCTGCGCATGGTCTGTGTTGTAGGGGCTGGTGGACGAGGAGCCGTTCTGAATCTGCTGGTCCATGCTGTTTAGGAGCCCCAGGTTCGTGTACTGTGGCTGCAAGGACACCCAGAAACCCTGACATCAGCCATCTAAGCCAAGATCAGTACTCYAAAACAGGCGTCATTTGGTGCATACCTTCTACAGAAGTCCCCTTCAGGCCCCAAAGATTCCACATGAAAAATAAAACAGGCAATCTGTGATACACAGAACCTTCAAGAGGAGTTGGAGGCCTGTGTTTGTATGATCTTCACAGTTCACAGGGTTCTTATGGTGCCTTTGGGTATCCTCAAGAGTGTTGCAAGTAGAATACATGCTTATTCACAGACTTGGCAAAAAGTGCACTGTGCTCAGAAGATGCTTAGGGATACTTCAAAACAAAGAAGTACTATACCACAGGTATGAGTCTCCCTAGGGAGGGGGCATATAGTATTCAGAATGAGAAAGACCACTTGATACATTTAAGGGATTTAAGCATCATATTGTTTTATATATATGTAAAACTATATATATCATTTTATATATATGCATGTATTATTATATGATTAATATAATAATATATTGTTTATATCATATAAAATTATTCTATTCAACTTTAATTATTTTACATGAGGAGCAGAAATAAACTCAGCTATTCGATTTAGTCCAGAGAGTATCTGTCTAAATGTTAATAGCCGCACGCCCATTCCATGACATTCATGTATGTACACACACACACACACACAACACACACACACACACACACACACACACACGGGGAAGGTGGTAAAAGGAACAGGAAATGTCCAATTTGGAATTGGGAGAAACCCCAGTGGGTGAGGAAAACCATCATACTGGGCAGGAGATGGATATATATATATGTGTGTATGTGTGTGTGTGTGTGTGTGTGTGTATCCATATGTGACAAAATGAAATAATCTTCAAGTTTTTTCTTGCCCTTATACTTCCACATTCTATCCCAGAGCACCAATAATGTTCCCTTGATCCCACCCCAAAAACTGGTGTCACAAGACTCAAGGGGAATGGGTAGCTAGCAGGTAAAGGAAAAYCTTATGTAAATATTTTTAATTAGTTAATTTATTTAGAGATGAGTTTCCAGCCACGTTGCCCAGACTGGTGTGGAACTACTGGCTAAGGTGCTCCTCSTGCCTCAGCTTCTTCAGTAGCTAGGACTAAAGGCCTGCACCACTGTGCCCAGCTTCAACTATATATTTTAAAGTAACTTGCTACGGTATCATCTAAACCTGGTCTAAATTTTAAAATAAAATAAAATAAAATTTCTTTGCAGCTCTTTGTATTTTACTAGAGTAGAACATGTACAAGGGAATCACAATTTAATCATGAATAAAATCCTCTGCTCAATATGGTTCAGAAGTGCATCAGCTCATGTCACTCCATCTGCCAGCTTCTTTCATGTCTTCTATGTGAATGGACCTGAGCACAGAGTCAAGGACTCAGTAAGATGTTTGTAACAGATTAATTTCTTCYCATTTCACCTACAAAACAACTTTATTATATGACTACCGGAGAGGGGAGGTAAGAAGCATCAACTAATCCGTAGAGTAGAAATTTAGAGACTAAACCTGCTTTGAGTCCAGGGCTCTATCACACCAGGCCATCACATCCAGGGCCCGATAAGCTGAGTCAGGGTCCTAAGCCTAGCTTAACTGAGCACATTTCCAGAARAAGCAACAGTTTTCCCTTTGTTAAGCCCTTTGACACATGGGAATCTCATATTTTCTTCAGGTTATTGAAATAGCGAGAGATCAAAAGCAAGAAGAAGGCAGCCCTATCAWTACACATTTTGTTAAAGAAGCAAGAAAGCTGGATCTTTCATTGGAATGTCTCTTCAAGCTGAGGAAAACCATGAAGAACAAACTCACTAAGAAACAGGGGCCTGGAATTCTTTTTAAATTTTAAACTTTAAGTATAATGAAATTATTCTATTCAACTTTCATTCTTTTTACATGAGGAGGAGAAACGAACTCAGCCATTCCATTCAGTCCAGAGAGCATCTGTCTAAATGTTAATAGTCGCACRCCCATTCCATGACATTCATGCATTCGCATTCCACCGCTGAATGCCACCTCCCCATTTGCTCTGCAAATAACTATTAATCTCTTTACACTTATCCCCTTGCTGACAAGAGCAGCTGTTGGTCTCGCCTTCTCTCCCCTCTGACTTCTATAGCTCCTGCCTCTCTCCTATCCTCCATCTTGGGCTTCCCCTCCTGACAGGTGTGGCAGAACTACAGGTAAAGCAACTACTGAAGGAAAATAAAACCTGAGGCCCAGGCTGGTACAGATGTATCCACGCCCCTGGCTGAACTAAAGCTCTTAGGTATCCAAGCCTGAGGCAACCGCCTGGAAAGGGGGTTGAAAAGATATTATTTGTGTTCAAGTTAAGGGTCAGTATACAAAGCACTCCCTAACCTCCTGTAGGAATCAGATAATGCACCCAAAGGCACGTGCTTCCCTACAGCAGTACAATTAGGGAGGCAGCCGTCCCTGACAAAAAGGACAAAGAAACTGGCTGAGCACTTTCTCGCAGGCAGTAAATGACTGTTGGACCACCCCTTCCTCCGCCTCCTTGCTACAGGAAGGAACTATAGCTAATTGTGGGCTTGGATGAGAACAAAGAAGCAGGGGCCCTTGGAATGTTTTTCCCCAATATGTATAAAGGGAAAAGTTGGGGGCCCAGCTTTAAAAGACAGTGAGTAAACACTAACCCATTCTCCAAAGACTTAAGAGAAAGGGAAATTCCATTTACCAAAGGGTCACAAAGAAGACCCCTGCAACCACAGCAAAACTGAACATACTGGGTGGCACCAAAGAGGCAGAAACTGTATCCAAAGCCCAGTGAGAGCGGGGATTGATGGGTCTACTTTTAAATGCCATGTTTTAAAATTCTTTATAATTCCAAGTAACATATTATTCTTAAAAAACAATGGAACTTTTTCCTAATGCTAATGCTTCAATTCATATGATAAAGCTACATTTCTCAATATTGCAAAAAAAATAGCGTATTATCCAAAATAAAAGTGAGAAAACACATTTCAATTGAAATGTTTCCAAATTAACACTTTAAAGACAGAACCTGAGCATTATATTCAATTCTCTTTTTTAAACATAAAACCAGCACTACTTACACATTAACAAAATCATCCAAGTAAGAACTGTGCGACTGGAAATCTACTTGGATACTTTTCTCAATGTACTAAAATTCAGTAAGTCAAAAGCCCTCCATAGGAAACAGTTCTTTGGAAGTTAATCATTTAAATATCTAGTTTTGTAAAAAGGATTTTATTTGCTTATTTMTTTGATTAAAAGAGAGATTGCATGTGTTGACAGAGTATGATTGTAGGCCAAGGGCCCAGCAACATAGTAAAGTTGAACACGTGATAGGACCAAGAAAATAACCTGAAGTGTACAATGCTAAATGAGCATGCGGGATCTCTTGCTCATTAATTATTAAGAATGTTGAAACAGTGATAGTAGGGCTTTAAGCAAAGCACATCACTCTTCAGGGGACAGTCCCTGTTTGACTAACTCCATGGTTTGCATATTTATGAAGCTACCCCTCACCCAGGTCAGTGAATAATATCTATTTCTCGTTTTCCACCAGAGTGAAGTTGGTAGGGGGAAGGCAGCAATGCCTGGGCCCCTTCTTAATTGCCAATAATTTTATAAACACAGAGGGGAAAATGCATTTATGGGATATTAAGGCAATGCTTATTGAGAAAGACAAGTAAGAGTATCAGGGATTAGAACATAACATTTTCACATCAGCCATAAAAACTGCCCTTGGAATAACACTGTTTGGCCCCATATGTCCCATGTGTTTCTTATCTAACAAAGTTTATTAGAACATTTGAAGTAAAAAGGAAGTAAATTCTCCCTTTCTAACTATAAAGTACTTTGATCTCAGAATAACCTAAACACACTCTACAGGCATAACAATATGAATGCACGACAATATTAGATATCTATCCCATCATATCCAAAAGGTACCTTATTTCCTATGAAAGAACTTTGAAATAGTCTAGGTTCAGGCAACAAGTCTACTATCAGAAATGTTTAGAACTGGAATATATTCAAGTTCATCCAGACTAGGCAACTTTAATAGGAAGGCAGAAGCACACTTTGGTTGCAGGAACTTAGCATATCCCAGGGCAACACAGAGCACTCTCAGAGTGTTCTGAAACATGGGTGCACCCAGGCCTGAATCTTAAAGCTGTTTGTTTTCACCATATAATTATAAGTCCTTTTGGCCAGATATTACTATCTGCACCAAATATAAGCATCAGTTCCCTAATATAATGAAGAGGGTTTTATTCATTATTTTTGGTTGTTTTTATTTTTTGTTCATAAGTCCTTTTACATTCTCAATATTTTACAGACTGGTCTGTTCACTAAATTTCAGTTCAGATGCTGGAAATTAAAATAGCAATAGAGAGGACATGATTTTCTCTGTTTGATCTTTTAAAATGTCCTATAAATACAGTTCCTCTAATTTTATTTTATTTATTGTTGTCATCATTATCRTCATCATCATTATTTTTGTAGTATAGAAATTGAACCCAGGGGCACTTTTACTGGTCAGCTACATCCCAGCCCTTTACTTTTTACTTTGAGACAGGGTCTTCCTTAAGTTGCCCAGGCTGTTCTCAAACTTACGATCTTCCTGCCTCAACCTCTGGAATCACTGGGATTAYGGGTGTGCTACACTGCACCCAGCTCATTTTATTTTATTTTTCCTGCACTATGTCTTTGTAATGATTTCAGATTCTAATATAYTATAAGCCTGATATTTCTTCTCATAAGTGCAACAATAATGTGTTGGTATATATTGTTATAAACAGTGCTCAATRTTAAATAACTAGATTTATTCTTAAAGTTGATGGCTTAATTACTTTCTCATAAAAGGATTGAACACCAAAAAGGGATTCCAATCAAATCATTTGAAGAATACAGTAGAAACAGGGACATAAGTATAATTTGTATTCCTGAAAATCTCTCCACCAATTTATCAATATTAGAGAGAGATTATAAGTCCTT